CACCACCCCACCTTGTCCGCGCGCGGTTCACCGGTGCTACCTAATTTAGATCGAAAGTTTAACCCGCGCCCTAGTGGGGTCTGTTTATAACGCGACCTGGTGGGGGGGGGGCTATTTTTTGCCCCCCCCCCCTCGTATCTCCGAAACTACCGGACGGATCCGCAAAATTCAAACGGCGTTCGAAAGGCCTGTCAAATTTGTTGAAGGAAACCAAATTTCATTGACCTCGGGGTCACCCATGACGTCACAGGTCAGGTCAAAGATGAAATGTTTCACCGTTCACGGGTCTTCTAGGGAATGCGCTATAATACCGAGGAAAACGCATTTTGTCGAGAATCAGCGATAGGGCGTCAGTTGTCTAGTAGATATGTTGCTATTAGAGGTCACTGACAATACCAGGTCAGGTCACAGGTCAGGTCACCAAGGGTCACAGGTCAGGTCACATGAGCCCAACTTAACAAAGGTTGTGTGATGCATGTTTTATGGCCAATTTTTCATTTCCAACTCAATGGTGCTGGTTACAAGACTATCAGGTACGGCTTAGGTCACTTTCTGGTGAAGTTCAGGTCAAGGTCAGGTCAAGGTCAGGCCAAAAAAGGTCAAATTTTAAAGTTGATAGTTTTGCATAAAATGGGTATTGATTCGATGCAGCTCGTCACGGGGAGTCTAATGGTGGTCTTTGTTTTGCGCTACGGGGTCTAGAATTGCTAAAAATTGAGTTTGAAAATTTGACGTCATCAATTTTGAACAGTTTTTTCGCTATAACTTCCCCAAAAAAGAGGTATCAATCTCAAATTTGGTATGTGGATGGAAGGTGGTAAGGACTATCACATATATTCCGTTTTTTGCGAAATTCAAATTTTTTTTTGGGTTTTTTTATTATTATATCCAAAAAAAATTATTTTTTGATTTTTGGGGGTTAAAATCCAAAAATTTCAAAAATCGGAGATAGCAGTTTTGTAGCCCTGTCAATTCTACAGCTTTTATGTCTATATCATTTTTCTGTATTTGCAAAGCTATAGGCCTGACAGCTCTTCCCGCGAAGCCCTTTTTTGGGTCGAAAACGGCAGAACATGACGTCACTCTGACGTCATTTCCGGCCAACCTATCATAGCCTTTGGAAAAATTTTTGGTCACAATGTGTAAAATTGATGTCCGGGAGGGTGCTGAAAGTTTGGTGACGATCGGCGCAGCGGTTCTGGAGATATCTCGAAAAGTCTGGAGGGGGGGGGGCAAAAAATAGCCCCCCACCAGGTCGCGGGTTAACACGCGCACCGACGGGGGTCTGCGCCAACTTCGTCCTGACCGGGGGGGACACCCTCTTGACCCCCTGAGATCTCGAGAACGAAGCAAGATAGCGACAAGCGGTAAACGGCATGGGATATGCACGGACAAGGTCTACAATTTTTACAAAGGTCATTTTCAGGTCAGGTCAAAGATGACGTCACAGGGGTCAAAAAAGTTAAAATAGCGGCGCTAGATATGGATATAGTTTTTCTCGAATAACTTTCGAACTAGTCAAGATAGGAACAACCTAAGGGCAGCATCGTGATCCTCTCGTCAATCCGCATCGAATGATATGTATGTTGACCTCGAAAGGTCAAGGTCAAAGGTTGACCTCAGGTCACGTGACCTCGAGGTCATCATGTATATCATTCGATGCGTCTTGACGAGCTGAACACAATGAGACCATCCGCGCGGCTGTATCTTGTTCCTGTACGGAGTTATTGGCAAAAAAAAAACGCTGGTGACCTTTGATGACGTCACTGGTCACATGACCTTACAGCTGCCCAACAGCAAAACAGACCTCAAGGTAGTGAAGGTTGATCGTATATGAAGTCAATAGTCATGTATGGCATATGGGGCCATTCCGACCCGTTTTAGTGGTAAAAACAGGGAGTTGATTTTTCCCCCATTGACTTATAATGGGGAGGTCGAGAAATTGACCTGACCTTAGGTCACCGATATCAAAATTCCGAGATACACAAATTGTAGCTACTAATAACCTCATAACCTCCTGCGACTTTCAAAGGCCTCCGACATCTACTGTAGCTCTGGCACGGTGACAAAATTGCAAAAAAGTGACTTGAGGTTGGGTTATTCAATGTGACCTGGTGACCTGACCTTAAAAGTTAGGAGGTTAAAACTTGCACACCATGTGTAAAATTGATGAGAGAATAGTCGTTACAAATTTCGTGGCGCTATGCGCCGCGGTTTTCCCGCTATTCGCGAAAAAACCTCAGAGGGGGCGGATATCCGCCCCCCGTCAGTGCGCGTATTAACGTGCCGATAAGATGGCTGCACAATATAAACAGAGGGAATAAGCGGAATGGGCGAAAACAGGCAAAACATCAAGGAGATATGCACATTTTTAAGCATACACTTTTATGCTCCCTTGATTCCACTGGCGGATCCAGTATGTGTGTGTGTGTGGGGGGGGGGTTCACGACCCCCAAAAGCCTGAAGGGGGGGGGGCAACGGATCTTTTGCTTCCCCCCAAAAAAAAACGCTTCAAGAAAAATGAATGTAAGAATGTAGCATAGTAGATACCTACTGGAAACAGCAGCGTGATTCAATAGCGTAGAGAAGCTACTGTATGTTTACTATCTTCAGAAGTCTGTGCTACTGGCGGATCCAGCCGTTTTCAAAGGGAGGGACCAAAGCAGGCCAAGAGGTCAGGTCTCCGAAGGTCCTAAATGACAAAATCCCCCTTTTGATATAACTGGATTAATTGGGATCGGTTTATTGACTTATCTTGCATGCATGTCGACATCTTTTGTGAATTGTGGTCCAGTGGAGAGTCTAAAGGGGCGACTTCGATTTGGAAAGGGATCCGAATCATGTTTTGGCCGCCCCTAGCCCTGACGTCGGCCCGGTTGCCCTCCCCCCTTGGATCCGCCAGTGGTCTATGAGCTTGATAAAAGTGTTATCAGGTCTTGTCTTCACCCAAGAAGGTCTTATTGCATACCTATCGATCGACGTATGAAGTTAACAAACTTGCTCTGGCGGCCTGGCCTGACCTGACCCGACATTTTTTCATTGACAGAATGTGCGCAATAATTTAAAGTTGAAAACTTGCTTTGTTAGGTAATGGTACAGGAAACATATGGGGGGGGGGGCATTTCGCCCCCTTCCGCGAATAACGGTAAGACTTATTTCGGTGAGAGCTCAGACCAATCGCGAAAGGGTCACTTATTTCTTAAAAATGGTCCTTACGGGCCTTTAAGGGCCATTCCACCTTTTGAGTGCACCACATCGGCATTTGATCCCACGTCAGTTGCTGAAATATGAATATGCATAATATATTGATCTCTAAAGGCGTTGTGGCTTATGCAATTGCAGGCACTTGGTATCCCTCACTTATCCCTCATTGGGGGCTCTGGCGGGCTCCTGAGGGCCCACGTCTATCTCCGGGAGCCCTAGATGGGCTCCTTTGGGTCCTTTCAGTCCACTATAGCATAAGAGGTCTCCACGCGAGTCCTACAGGGTGATCAACAAAGAATGACATCAGTTTTCAATGTCTCGTGTTTATTTTAAGGCACGTGCGCAAAAAACGAGTAGTGTTTCATGAAAAAAATACTTGGACATTTTGATTTATGTTCTAATTACAACACTGCCCATGATAGTATAATAGATATGCCCACTTGTTTCTCAAGTCCAATTCGGCACTCTCGTCAAAATTCACCATTTTGTCACGATCAAGCCAGCTGGGTGATTTTGAAGTTGGAAGAGCTGAGGAATCTGAGCGATGTTCGCCGGGCGTTTCGGCTGAACTACTGCCCGAATAACCCCAGAGATGTTGCCCATTTCAAAACGTTCCAGCGGCTGGTTCGACGCTTTGAAACGGTCCGTTGCTACCCGTCCCCTCACCCCGCGTGGTAGGACGGCGGGTATCGCTGAAGAGGAGGAGCGAGTCCGGCAATTTTTCAAAGATCAACCTAATGCCCACGCTCGAAAGGCTGCAGAAGACCTGATAATGTCTTTCGGAAAGGTGTGGACAATCCTCCGCAAGACACTTAATTGGAAACCGCACCGCCCAATCCTAACGACTGTCCTCTCCGCTGACAGCAAGTTGTCGAGGATGAAAGCATGCACCATCTGGCTCAACCAAGCGGAAGACTAATTTGAACGGGTAATCTGTAGCGTTGAGAAATGGTTTGTGCTCCAGCAAGCACCCAACAGGAAAAATGCAGTCGTCTGGTCGCCAATGAATCCACAGAAGCTGATCCAGTGCAAGAAAGCGCACAGAGAAGCTCATGGCGTGGGTGGGCATCGTGGACGGAAGATGTCTCCCCGTCTACTGGGTCGAGGGATCTGTCACCGGTGCCTCGTACCTGGAGATGCTGCAGACGGTGATGTGGCCGAATGGTACCAGTCGCTACATCTTGTCGTGAGATCCACACAGATCATAGATCGAGAGATCCACACAGATCATAGATCCAGAGATCCACAAAGATCATAGATCCAACCCTAAAATTTTGTCGAGAGATCCCCATAGATCATTGATCCAGCCCATAAATTTTGTCGAGAGATCCACTGAGATCATAGATCCGACCCCCCTGTTTTGTCGAGAGATCCACTCAGATCAAAGATCCGCCTCTCGGATCCATGCACATGTCTGGTGGGTAGGCTGTGCCGCTTGACAAGTAAGTGAAGCGGCACAGTCTACCGGTACCAGGCGGCTGCTGCCAATGCTGAGCCATAGGAACCCAGTGGATAAAGAGTAGTAGAACGTCAATCTGCCTCCGAGTGTACCCTAGGTTTGGCTCCTGCATGAGTTGCCCCCCCCCCCTCAAACGCAAGTGAGGATCCACCAGTGTACAATATGTTAGGCATCTACATAGATATTCTCCTTAACTCACTGGTCTCTGTGACTGACTGACCTCTGTGGCTGACCTCTGTGACTGACTGACCTCTGTGACTGACTGTTTGACCTCTGTGACTGACCTCTATGACCGACTGGCCTCTGTGACCGACTGACTTGTCTGTGGCTGAGTTACCTTTGCACTTGCCGCGCTGGTCGGGCCTGTAGCCCGGTGGACAGTCGATGGGAGCACAGCTCCCGTCAGCAGTCAGCCGCTCGCCGTAGCCGCAGCGCTTCTTGACGCACCGGAAGGAGCCCTCGATATTGTTGCAGGTCCACTGAGGCCCGAGGCTAGCGCAGTTGTCTCGTCCCAGCTCGCACTCGTCATCGTCTGCGAGCGGGAACGGGCAACGTCGCGGCGGCCGTCACACACCTCAGCCGGCACCGGGGGACGGGCAGAGCCGGCCGGCTGCAGCAGCGGCAGCACAGGCCGGCACCGGGGGACGGGCAGAGCCGGCCAGCCAGCTGCAGCGGCAGCACAGGCCGGCACCGGGGGACGGGCAGAGCCGGCCGGCCGGCCGGCGGCAGCGGCAGCACAGGCCGGCACCGGGGGACGGGCAGAGCCGGCCGGCTGCAGCAGCTGCCGCACAGGCCGGCACAGGGGGACGAGCAGAGCCGGCCGGCCGGCGGCAGCGGCAGCACAGGCCGGCACAGGCACTTGACTACATATACAGGGTGGAAAGTAATTACGCGAACATGTATTTTCTTACAATTTTGACCGTCAGTGGAGCATTTTTATGAGTACGGGCTGTCACGGAACATAATTGGTCGTGTTTGTTGTCGCCTCATCTACCAAAAGTGACCTAACTTTGAACAATGACCTGGAAGGTCTTATACACCTCTCGACTTAAAATGGTGCAGACACCATACGCTGCACAAGACCGAAATGGGCAAAGAGCTCAATTTGGAGCTGCCAGGGAAAGCGTTTGTGATTATTTTCGCCGGACTGGTGGAGAAGGGATTCGTAACGGTCTCAGCACCAGCATTGCACAATTATACGTTTTTTTTAAACATAATAACACTTGAGAGGACTTAAAAAGCAAAGCCGTCCGCGGCAGCAACCCCTCGGCGAATTCTGTCGCCGGACGGGTGGTCACCATGTCGGCGACAAAACGACGCCAGTCGACCCGAAAACTGGCAAAATAGCTTACTCTGGCCGAGTACCCGATCTAGGATATCACGATTCGCATATTAATACGCAAAAATTCGAAAATTAAGTCATACAAAACCCTCGGGATGACCAAAATTCACGAATTAACACCAGAATTGTTAATTGAAGCTTTTCAAAGACAATCAAAGATGGACAGAGGAGTACAGGCGGCTGGATTTGTGGTTGGGTGAGACATCTGTGAAACTGTTTCCTCCGTCAAACCTGCAGAACAACTGCTCTGAGGGCTGCTGTTGCGTCCTATGTCCCGTCCGTCCCAACCTTCAAACATCCGGCAAAGGAACACATCAGTGGGTCACGAGCCCCCGGGTGGTGTCAGAATTGCGTGTAGCGCTAAAAAAGGTCACTAAAAATAAAGTATACAACCGGTAGAACATCCTCCAAGACAAGTGTCTCTGTCTAATCCACCGTGCAACGAAAGGGGCAAAATGATTGAGCGCACTTTTGTGCCCGACGCAAAGAAACTGCTCTTCGTGATTGGTGAAATCCTTTCTTTCATGGCCAACAAAACGCAATACTGGTGCTGTGAGAACCTGTTTTTCTTCAGGACATACAAAAGCTGATCTGGGAAACGCCTGGGCCTCAATTCGATTAAAAATCTCCAGATGACTCCTCAGGAGACCGTCTAAAAGCTGCAAGGAGCCACCAATACCGATTACCTCACTGGCCAGCTCCATAAGGTGTGGGCTGAGCTTTGGCCAACAGATCTTCACATGCTGATGTAAATCATGCCGGAACGCCTATGTCAATGCATCGCAACTAGATAAGGATAAAGTAAAACATATAGGTATTGTTTATGTCACCGCCGTTTTTTCATTACTAGAAGACGAAAAAGTATGTTCGCGTAATTACTTTCCACCCTGTATGCTAGAACGCGCTGTCCGGAGGACAGCCTGCTTTGTTACACATCAGAGGAGCATTGCAATAATTTGGCTCGACGGAGAATAAGAGAATATCTCTGGCACTGTCTGACCGACTGTCCCGTGGGATGGCTCACGGGCTGTCTCAGCGGACTGTCCCATGGACTGTCCGCGGGCTGTCCACCTTCCTGGACTGTCTGACCGACTGTCTCACTCTCACGGAATGTCTGATGGACTGTCTCACGCTTACGAACTGTCTGACGGACTGTCTGGCAGATTGTCTCACTCTCATGACAGTCTGGTAGTCTGACGGACTGTCTGACGAACTGTCGGACGGACTGTCTCTTGGACTATTTGACGGACCGACTGACAGACTGTCTGACAGACTGTCTGACGGACCGACTGACAGACTGTCTGACGGACCGTCTGACGGACTGTCTGACGGACCGTCTGACAAGCTGTCTGACGGACCGTCTGACAAACTGTCTGACGGACCGTCTGACAAACTGTCTGACGGACCGTCTGACGGACTGCCTGGTCGTCGTCTGAGAGTGCCGGCGGGACGCACCCTCGCAGATGCCCAGCTGCGAGTTGAGCGTGTAGCCGGTGCCACAGCCGGCCGTGCGGATACACGAGAAGGAGCCGATGGTGTTGTCGCACCGCTGGTTGTCCACGCAGCTGTGGATGTCCAGCTGGCACTCGTTCACATCTGCGGTCAGACACAGTGGTAAAATGGACACGGGGTGACACAGACACTCGTTCACATCTGCGGTCAGACACAGTGGTAAAATGGACACGGGGTGACACAGACACTGTGGTGACACAGTGGTGACACCGTGCACAGTGGGTGTTTCAGGGGTTCTAGCCTCTCACAACCTTCCTTCCACTATGGATTTCAGACCCTATGAGGCCCTGTTTTTCGGCAATAGTTTCTTCAATATTCGTCCAATTGGCTTCAAATTTTTACAAAACACATTTCAGCTCAAGCGCCGATTTTCGTCAATATGGTCTTGCGGGTTAAGTTAGGTTAGGTTAGGTTAGATTAGGTTGGGCATTGTATTGATCAATACTATTGTATTGATTGGTATTGTACCAATCAATACAATGATTGTCATCTGAATGATTGGTATTGTATTGGTAATGTATTGATCAATACTGACACATTGACTTAAGTGTACTTAAGTGTACTTAAAGTTTTTCTTAATTATTAAGTAAACTTTAATTAATTAATTGAGTTCAAATTAACCAAATTGCATTATATCGCATATCAATTCGATTCGGCTGATCACCAGGAACACGACACCATTTTTTAACCCTCGCCCGTAAACGGCGATCTGCCACCTTCGCCCATGCAGGGGGGGGGGTGCGACCCCCCCCCTTGGCGTTTGAAAACGGAGCGTCGTAAAGCTTAGCGGAAAAGACCAACGGATTGTTCTCGCCGAGATCTCGCGATTGGTGGTATATTTTTTGGTCCTAGGTCAACATTTGACCTACTTTTGACCGGTCAAAGGTCAAATTTTCGGAAAAATAGACTTGTTTCAACTTTCAGCGGCGATTGCGGCAGAACGGTGGGAGATATCGACTTGAAACCTTCACTATCGTGTTCCTTGATCAATTCTCTATCGTTTGGTATGTATTTCGTTTCCCTAGCTCTAAAAATGGCGCGTTGGGAGCGCCGGAAGTCGGCAAGGTCACAGTCGGCGGCAGAAATTCGAAAAATCAAAATTTAAATTTTTGAAATCTGATTGTATTTTTGGATTTGTAAGGTCCATTTGCTCCCTATAGAAGCTAATATTGCTGCATATTCCCATTGAGGTGACAAGAATTAGCAAAATAGTGGTTCGGGCGCTTTTCAAAAATAGTACCGGACGCTGTTCCTCTTGTGACGTCATAGCTCCGTGACCTGACCTGACCCGGTCAAGTTTCTTATACCATATGATAGCCAATACTTGCCCCAACATGCATGGGAAGTTTCATCACGATCCATCAACCGATGTCCGTACCACCGGCAGGAAACCTCGGGCGTTGGCACTCAGTTTGTGAAAATCCGGCCGGAGGCTGTTCCCTTTGTGACGTCATAACTCCGTGACCTGACATGACCCGGTCAAATTTTTTTTTATCAAAAGATGCGCAAGGTTTGCCCCATAAGGTACCCAAAATTTGGCGGCGCTGCGCGCCGCCGTTTTTGCACTATTTCCGAAAAACCTCAGGGGGGGGGGGTTGCACCAACCCCCCCCCCTACATGGGCGAGGGTTAAGCTATAGCGTCATTATGTGTCAAGTTATTGGCAAAAACGTCATTTGACCTCAGTTGACCTCATTTGACCTGACCCATGGATAAGTAGGTACACCAAACAAAGAAGCACCAAGTGACCTACTGTTACGTACTGTGGTGTCAAAGCACAAAGGTGATAGAACAAAGCGGATATCTCCAGTATTTTCCGAATTTAGTATTTTCCCATAGGCTTGCCATTAGCCGTTTTCACGACGGGCTATCCGGCGAATGCACCTGATTTGACCAAATCTGCACCTAATTTCTTTTAAAGCAAATATCTTCATTTTATGAATTTATTTCAGTGTTTTAATCGATGATGCTCTCTGATAATATGACAAAGCAGGCATATAAGCAATTAGTGCAACCCTAGCTGATAGCTGCTAAGAGACACACTGAACCTGATTTGACCAGAGGGTGATCCAAAAAAATTGGAACCCCTAACTTAAAATGTCTCTAAGTCCGAAAGTATTCACTTTATTGACAAATTGCAAACACCATTAGAAAGAGCAATAAATCCTCTATAAAATCACATCAAGTTAGTGCATGTATGTTGTAAAGCATTGACACACTATTAGCTTTTGGAATGAGCGTCAGAAAACTGAGTGAAACGAAATCGCCAATTGTTAACAATGCACTGAAGTCCGTTAGCACTCCATCTGTTGTTTTTTGCGAATAACACCACATTTAATTTCAATTTTATTACATAAAAGTTTACACAGAAGCACACAATAGAACAGGTACACGCGTCCTAGCTTCCGCTGTTCATCACAGCATGTGCTCAAACCGAGCTCCGTTGGCCGTCACGCTGACGCAGGCCTGCAGTCGCTTCGGGACAGCTCCGACGGCGCAGGCCAGCAGTCTCTGGGACAACTGATCCCAGCAGGCCGTCAGCCTTTCCTTCAGCTCCTCTATGGTGCTGATCCTCTGACCTCTATACATAATTCGCTTCAGTTCGCTCCACACGAAGAAGTCCAAAGGGTTGAGGTCTTCGGTGGCCAGGCATCTGGCTCGATGAAGGCCGAGCAGGCCTGTTCCAGAAACTCGACCACTGAGTGGGCCGTGTGGCACGGAGCACCGAATTATTTTTTTTTTGCTCCTGTTGAAATTTAAATTCCTTACAATAGCACGTGAATGAGCTATTTTTATTCATGAACCTCCAACATGCGACATGGTCAGAACAGCAAACCGCAAATCACTGTTTTGCGCATAATATTCAAAACCGTTTCAGTGAGTTTCGTGACACAAATTTTATAGGTATTTAACTAGGGCAATATTTATAGTAATAGTTAAGTTCAATCAACTTGGTTTTATCGAGAATTGAACGCTCTTTCTAATGGTGTTTGCAATTTGTCAATAATGTGAAAACTTTCGGACTTACGGACATTTTAAGTTAGGGGTTCCAATTTTTTTGGATCACCCTGTATGTACCTGATCTGTACCAGATGTGCACCAAATGTGTACCAGATGGCCGTCGTGAAAACGGCTATTATGACGTAATGACATCTAACTGACCTCAGGTCAGTGACATCGAAAAACCCGAACTATATGTTATACAACTCGGTGAACTTAGCACATCCTGAAAGTTTGAAGGAAATCAGTCAAAAACTGTGAGTTGGAGAGGTGCAAAAAGAAAATTGAACTTTAACCATGGCCTTATACCGGTGTTTCTGACCTGGTGACCTGACCCAAGGTCCACCGGACCTGAAATTTTTAGGTCACATGTAAAAGGGTTGCTTCATAGGCTGTGCCAAATTTAAACCTTAGGGGGGTCGCATCGACACCCCCCCCCCCCCCTGCCAGGGCGAGGGTTCATGAAAACAATATTCAATGTATTCAATGTAAACGCGTTTCGGTTATTTCTTTATCAATACATTGATATATGTATTGTATCAATGTATTGATAAAGAAATAACCGAAACATGTTTACATTGAATACAGATAAAATTTTTATATTGTTTTTCATTAAACTGAACATGTGTCATAGACTGCGAATACCAGTTTTAATTTTCGGGGATATGTGTTTAACTGATTGACCTGACCTTGACCCTGACATATGTTTCACCGACCCCTACATGGATATGACACTCTTGTAGGCCTTTTATGAAGGATTGTGCACAGTTTTGACAGAGTTTATGACGAGAGGTGCCCATTACGAGGTTCTGAAGTCCACGCTACTAAAAACCCGATTTCAGGTGTTTGACCGGACCTTGACCCGGCCTGTGACCTCGAAATTTATTTTCAAGTACTCTCCTGAAGCGACTCGTCGTGTTCTTTCGTTTGCCGCCTCGTGCGTTTTGCTGCGCCTATTGGTTCCCAAGTAATCGGCTGGGGGTGTTTAACGCTTCCCCCCCAGCAAACGGCGGATGGCGAAATACCCTAGCAACTGCCGGGTTTTAAAACAAAATATCAAAATTACTGGTACTTGTAATGCCTCGTAATATTAAAATCGGTTCAGTAAGTCCGTCAGTGGAGTAGAGGCTATCCGTGCGTAGTCGTGACCATAGGTGGGCATCGTTAATCAAAAAGTTAGTTTCGTTAATCGTTAATCCGTTAACTAAAAAGTTAGTTCCGTTAAACGATAATCCGTTAATTCACAACAAAAGTAACGGAAGTTACTTAAGTCCGTTAATCGTTAACATTTTACACGGTAATAAACAATATGAAAATGCTTGTGCATTTTTCTAAGGACAACTCGACCAACCTACGCTAACGGCTAGGCGCCAATCACTTGTCGTAGCGCGGTTCTGCTCTCGAAGACCTGCCAACAATTGCGCCTGCTCGGTGACGGCATGGATAAGTTATACCTATTTATAAATATAAAATACATGGTGATGATATGTGTGATGCGAGTTGCGACCGATTTCAACCTGCGTTACCGACGATTCAGCTCGCCTGACAAACAGCTCTACCCTTTCTCTCCGCCTATCAGCCAGGCAGCGTTCCAATGACAGGCGTGTGCATCACAATTTATTTCAGTTGTGGCCAAATAACAACTATTACCTACTAATAGTTGTTATTTGGCCACAACTGAAATAAATCAAATGCTGCCAGATCCAGAAAGGAAAAACTTCGCCGCATGAAGGTTTCATACACATTACACACCAGTAACTTTACAGTAAACTTTTGCTTCGAAATAAAAGTAACGATTAACGGATTAACGGACTAAATTTTAACGATTAACGGAGCCGAAAAGTAACGGAACTAAAACGGTCCGTTACACGTGGAAAAAATTAGCGAGTCCGTTAATCGTTAACCCAAAATTTAGTTCCGTTAATTAACGGATTAGCGATTTAACGGACTTGCCCACCTATGGTCGTGACGTCATAAACTTGTGACCATTAAGGTTAAGCTACACTATCAGTGATCGTCCAGGAAATTACGTGCGTGATCTGCAGACCCGTGATTGCGAGACTCCCTTGATATCGGTTTCTGCGA